CACAAGACGAGATCCGCATCTGTTAGGTCTCTTGGGTCTAATCAACTCTGATAGATTTGCTGGGTCGAAGACAATTGCCACCCATCCCAGGCTGGTAAAAGTCAGACATGTGGAAAGTCCTTCAGACAGACACACACACACAGACACACACATACATAGACACACACACACACTTGCAGGCTAATAGACTGAGAGGTATGTAGGTAGATGGTCTTTATTTAAGATGTTAAGGGCGCTCACTATAATTATTTTGCCTCTGCCAACATTTGGACTGTTCTTTCGCTGACACAAGCTCGCAGACTAACCTGTCTAAACAAGGGCTTTTAACCCTTTTACCCTCTTGAATGCATGACATGAATCTCCGCCGCCCCTCCCCAACCCCCTCCCCCGATCTTTACTCCACAATTCCCACTCCTCTACTTAAACAAGTGGTTAAAAACAGGAAGACATAAAGAAAACCCAAAGAACTAGCAACAGGAACTGTATTATCCATATAGTTGGATTTTTAACTTTAGATATACAAATTACTTACGAAAACAAAATCGTCCGTAGCTTTTTTGTTTTATAAACAGTTTTTAAAATTATTTTAATTAAAATAACAGGATAAAATTTTTATATACATATTATTAACATACATATTAAATACATATTATTAACATACATATTATATACATATTATTAACATACATATTATATACATATTATTAACATACATATTATATACATATTATTAACATACATATTATATACATATTATTAACATACATATTATATACATATTATTAACATACATATTATATACATATTATTAAAATTCCATTATATACAAATTATTAGCATACATATTATTGACTATTAACATACTACATCTTATGCAACATACATATTATATACATATTATAACCCCCATATTATTTACATTTATTAACAACCCCCAAAGAAAAACAGGTAAAAAAAAATATTCTTGGTCAGGTCTTCTCACCTTCCCAAGGATAGGTTAGGGTTAAAAGCAAAAAGGGTCAGGCAATAGTTAGGTTAAAAGTTAAAGTCGATAAAAAGGACATCATTGCACCGATTGTTATCTCATATGGCTGGGTCTCTTTACCCCAGAACGACTAGCCGCACGAACTCCGCAGCGCTGGCGACGATCCACAAGGAGCTCTGTAACAATTGCACTAGTGAACTGCCGTAAAACAAACCCACGATCTTCAGAATGTGAGGCAAATGGCTTGACTACTTCGCAACGGAGACCCCCTGTCAGAAAGAGATGTAATGATCGTCTGTGTGTGTAATGAGCTGGGTTACTTGGTCTTTATTGCTTTAAGGTTATTCTTGATGCCATAGTTTCATTTTTTTGCATTGACCTCAGACTATGAGCTCATTATATTTCTTGACCTATCTCTCGGAGGAATTTCATACTAGATCAAATTTGCCAGGTAGTCACGATTAAAACGATCATGTACTGACTTAACCCACCGGTTCCGATATTGGTAGGGAATGGATGAAGGTTGAGAACCTCGCCAATGTTGACCGTTCCCCTCGCTGTTTCTCCTCCAGTTTCGATGTTGCATGAATACTGAAAGCTACTGAGTTTAGTGCTCCTGGCGGCACTATGAGCTGTGATTGTCGGTTATTGACTGAGTTCCAGATTCGTACATAAGGGCAATGATGGCTGATGTTGTTTTTTTCGTTGCGTTCCTGTGACAAGGCGTGTGCTATAGCTACTATTTATTTGCTGGCCGTGGCTGCGATTTGGTCGAGGACATGTGGACAATGGTCAGGAATAAATTTAATCGACTTATTGTCCAGCTATTCGCCGAATGAAGTTGATTTTCAGCGATGACATCTGATCTCACAGTGTGCTCAAGGAGGCATGCACCTTATGGTTTGCCGGATCAAATCGTGTGTGATTAGCTAACTCATCCATACTGAACCGAAGGTGACATCGTAACTCACCCACACTGAATCGGAGATGACATCGTCATTCACCCACACTGAAGTGAAGGTGACTTCCTAACCGTTTTTTTTTTTTTTCCCTGTATAACTGTGCTATAACTAAACGGTTGAGCGCCATTCCCGGGATTGGTAGCTGTTCATGTTTCATCCCTGAGACGTGAATCTTGTTTACACAATTTATTTTGGAGGGGAAAATCTTTGCGCTTTTGCCTTCTGCAGACAAAATGCTGCATTCTTGGAATCACAATTTTTTTACAGTGTGGATCCTGAGACCCCACTGGGGGGGGGGGTGGGGGGGGGGGGTTTAAAACCCTGCCTCCTAAAAACATGCAAAAAAAGGACTAACTGATGTTTCCTGAAAAATAATGTGTCGTGTGCAGATAAAGCAGTCTAGATGTAAACCATGAAAAAAAGTGCCAGCTGTCCTTTCACAAACGCATAATTAATCGCCTTTTACGACATGCTTGATAAGGGTCAGTGGCACTATTCTTCCTCCACAAAAAGTGTCATGGAGCTATTGAGACGTACTAACAAGAACACCTACCTCGGTGGGGCTCTTGTCTGGATCAGCCCGGGCTCCGATCTTGTCCAAGAAGATGGCAATGATGCCAAAGGAGACCACGCCCAGAACCATGTAGGAGGTCATGAGCTTCCACAACACAGGGGCCAGCACTTGCGGTCCTGAAAGGGAAAGACAAAGACACTTAGCATTGACGGTTTGTTCCCTTGTCAGTTTGACGTCCGGCACGCGCCACGAAAACGAGAAAATCTTGAGCGCCCCCTACACAGGACCGACAGGCTAGAACATTTGTAAATATCTTGCGAACCACCCCCCCCCCCCCCCCTTTTTCTTTCCAGCCATGCTGAGAACTTCTTCTTCTTCTTCTTCTTCTTCTTCTTCTTCTTCTTCTTCTTCTTCTTCTTCTTCTTCTTCTTCTTCTTCTTCTTCTTCTTCAGCAGTTCGAGCCTTTAAAATTCTTAAGATTCAGATGTTATCTGCCTCCATTCATCTCTCTGGTTAGCCTTCTCTTACCAGTTGGTGACACCAACTGTTTATAGATCTGTCTAGACATTATCTCTCAATCGTCTTTTTTATTCAGTCTCGTGGTCTACGACCATTCACTCCTTTGTGTGTATACTTTTTTTTTTTCTGTTACCCCTCTGTAATCTGACTTTCTCTAAATATGCCCCAGCCATTTCAGTCTATTAGCTTTTATGATGCCAGTGATCAATAGCGATTTAAACAGATTATGAATTTTTTTCTTGCTTCTCGCTCTCCATTCCCCGCTGTTTGTATCCTTGATGTTTCCAAAGATTCGTCGTAAGACTCTGTTTTATGTGTAATTGGATTAATCTCTTTTAGTTGTGCTCCAAGTTTTATAGCTATATGAAATAACTGGTGTTATCAATGTTTTATATTTTTTTATCTTAATATTATGAAATAGAGAGTTTAACTTTAGCAGATGTTGAAGGGCACAGTATACTTTATTTCCAGATTGCATTCTAGATTGTATTTCTTCTCACAGCATGTTGGAGCAGTTGAAGTTTGCACCCAAGTATTTCTATGTTCTGTTACGTGATGAACTGAAGTTTAAGATGGTGGAGGTTTTGCGCCAATGATGATAGAAGTGACCTTTTTAATTTTTCGCGTATATATGGTTGCTGTTTGTTTGTTTGTTTTGTTTGTTTTAGTATCCAGAAGCCATGAGTTGTTAACCCTTAGGCTCGGTATTATGGATATCGCAACCTTTCGGCGGTGATTCCATTGTAAATACCGTAAATCTGGGAGAAATGTGGCTTTTTCTGCCTACCCCCCGGGAGTGAACCTGGACCACAAGGAGTTCGTCACCAGGTCAAAGCGCAATCCGGTTTAGCCAACTACGCTAGAGAGCCGGGCATATTGTTACTAAAAGTTGTTGGGTTCGGGTCCTAAAGGAGCTTGATTTTTTTTTTTTTTTTTCGAAAACGACCTTGGCTCCTATGTCGACCCAGCCTTGAGTGAGTAGCAGATGCAGTCCCGGGAAGTAGAGGCGGCCAGCGTAAGGCTAACCACATCAGCCATCAAGTGCAGATTGGTCTATAAAGCGCAGTAGCCATATAGGCCTAACATACCTGAAGGGTCTTTAACCTAACTTACTTTTTATAGTTGAACATATTTAACATATATTTATTTGCCACTCAGCGCATTATATATATAAACATGCCTAGGAAAACCACAACAGCCAAAAAATGCTAGGGTTGGTTCTGCAACGTCCTGTAAAGGATACGCAACTAACTTTTTAACTCACATGCACGCACGCGCGCATACACACACACACGCACAGAGTAACTACCTGTTGACTAAGAAAAGGGAAACCAAATGTTATGGCAGAGAAGACCAGGCCCTTAGCCTTGATTGGCATCTGGTCTAGGAGGGAAGCTCTAACAGACAGACGGACAGAGCACTGCTCGTCTCATCCTGTAGCATCCAGGTGTTATAATAGGCTCCAGGGAGACACAGGAATCACAGTCTATGGCGATATGTATCACTAGCAAGACACGCTCGCCAACGGCACAAAGCCTGGACACAATTGTAGAGATTACGCACTGTTGATGCAATATGATTCCCCGAGCAGCCTACCTTGTTTACTCCAAATAAAATGTAACACCAATACTTTTGACAGTGCTATTAGCTACGGCTCAGGACCACATAATCTGTAGGGGCCTCAAACATTTATATTCCAAGCAAAAACATTGTATTGTAACTGAGAAAGCATGCTGAGGAAGATTAGGATAGGCATGCTTCATGCAGAGGGCATGCCTCCCTGCGGAGGACACGAGTGAGGAGTATTGTCTGGATTTTTTCACCGGGAAACGCCGGTGTGTTGGAAAATGAACAGGCGGGCCAACTGGCTGGCTCTGCACAGCTTGGTGGAATACTGATGCATGATAAGGCAGACGTGGTTAGTGCCTTGTGGGAGAGCTTGTACAGTTCGGAGGAGCAGATGGATCATCACAGTCTGATGAGACTGATGCAGGGGTGGGGGGGGGGGGGGGGGGGGGGGGCTGACGAGAGGTTCTAGCAGATCCTCGAGGCTCAGAGGAAGGGCAAGACGGACGTCTAATCAGAAAGCTACTGGCTTGAGAACACAGAGTCCTAACAGTTCGGCGAGAAAAAGGTTATTCTCATCATCCTCATTTCCACTTCTGCCATTACGCGCCAGGGAGGGGGGGGGGGGGGGGGTTAATTTGATATGAAACATAAAAGAATAAAGATCATAACTTCATTTTATTGATTCCTTCCCATATATGAGTCTAGTCTTTATGATTACAAACAATAATATTCAAGATTCCACGGGTTATCCAACAAGGCATCCATTAACCCCCTCAACCCCAGAGCTTTTGGACACTTGAAAACACAGGTCCCAGTAGTGGCCAAAGAGCTGAAAAGATTTAATTGGATGCGGAAGTGCAGATGAAAAGGCCATAATTTCAGATCTGAAAGGGGAGGCAATGAACTCGTTAGTATAAATTGCAATTTTTTTTTTAAGAGCAAGGGTTGGAAGGGGGGGGGGGGAGGTGGGGGGGGGGGGGTGGAAGAGGACATCGATTGTGATTACATAACAGCTACTACTACCACCACCACTGCTGCTGCTGCAATTACTGCTACCTCCACCACTGCTGCTGCTGCAATTACTGCTACCACCACCACTGCTGCTGCTGCAATTACCGCTACCACCACCACTGCTGCTGCTGCAATTACTGCTACCACCACCACTGCTGCTGCTGCAATTACTGCTACCTCCACCACTGCTGCTGCTGCAATTACTGCTACCACCACCACTGCTGCTGCTGCAATTACTGCTACCACCACCACTGCTGCTGCTGCAATTACTACTACCTCCACCACTGCTGCTGCTGCAATTACTGCTACCTCCACTACTGCTGCTGCTGCAATTACTGCTACCTCCACTACTGCTGCTGCTGCAATTACTGCTACCACCACCACTGCTGCTGCTGCAATTACTGCTACCTCCACCACTGCTGCTGCTGCAATTACTGCTACCACCACCACTGCTGCTGCTGCAATTACTGCTACCTCCACCACTGCTGCTGCTGCAATTACTGCTACCACCACCACTGCTGCTGCTGCAATTACTGCTACCTCCACCACTGCTGCTGCTGCAATTACTGCTACCTCCACCACTGCTGCTGCTGCAATTACTGCTACCACCACCACTGCTGCTGCTGCAATTACTGCTACCTCCACCAAGTTTACTTTGAGATGCTGCTATTATTACCTGTATATCTCGTCATCTCCTTGTTGGATGCAATTTTTAGCTATTTTGAAGCCCACTAAATTTATTTGGTTACGTCCTTTTTAGGACATAATTTTTTGTTATTTGAAGCCCCACTCTGGCTTTTGCCAGAGGCCGCAATATAGGCAGGCCATCAATATTGCCAATTGTCTGAACGCGGTTTCTGGGACCTCTCCACGGTGATCCTCATCCGCATGGTGGCACTTTGTGTCATCGGGTGTTTATCACTTATGTGATGTCCTGGTGGGGTAGAAAGTCAAGTCGAAGCCCACTCATAAATATCTAGTCATCTCCTTGTGAGATGTAAAATTTTCGTTATTTGAAGCCCGACCATGGCTCTTGCCAGGGGCCGCAATATAGTCCGGCCATAAATATTGTCTAATGGCTGAACCTCTCCACGGGTAATCTTCATCTACAAGGTGGCACATTGTGTCATCGGGTGTTTATTGCTTGTGTGATGTCCTGGTGGGGTGAAAATCTACTAGTACTGAAGCCCCACCAAGGCATTTTCCAGGGTCTCTTAATATAGCCGTGTCTGAAATATGGACTAACGGCTGAACGGGGTTTCCGGTACCTCTCCACTGGTGATCCTCATCTCCATGGTGGTATTTTGAGTCACAGGGTGTTTATCGCTTTGTTTGATGTCCTGGTGGGGTACAATTACCTACCTACTACTTGTTTTTCCAAATACACCTGTAGTAATAACAATATTACTACTGCTACTACTACTACTACTACAATACTACTACTACTACTACTACTACTACTACTACTACTACTGCTGCTGCTGCTGCTACTACTACTACTACTACTGCTGCTGCTGCTACTGCTGCTGCTGCTGCTACTACTACTACTGCTGCTGCTACTACCATTACTACTACTACTACTACTACCATTACTACTACTATTACTACTACTGCTACTACTACAACAACAACTACTACAACAACAACTACTACAACAACAACAACAACTACTACTACTACTACTACTACTACTACTGCTGCTGCTGCCGCTGCTACTACTACCACTGCTTTTATTTCTACTACTACTTCTAAGCGACTCCTTTTACTTTTGTTGAGATGCAATTATTACTACTGATGTTTTAACGTATACATCTACTGAGTGAGCTGCAACAAAAACAAAAACTAATACTGTTATTGATTCTACTACCACCGCCATTCCTACTACTACTGTTGAGATGCCGATATTATTACAGATGTTTCAACGAGGAATGTGAGGACAGGCATGCTTCCCTTCCGAGGTCCTTAGTGAGGATCATTGTCTGAATCTTTCCTTCTGGTCATGTTGGTGTGTTGTGAATGAACAGTCAGATAGACTGGCTGGCTGAGCACACCTTGCTGGAATGCTGATGCTTGGTAA